TTCATAGTATCCATTCAGGGGTTGTGGGCAAGGATCCCATGAAAGCGCATGAAGCAGAGCTGAATAGACAGCAGGCAGAGAATTATTATTTGAAAAGCCTTTATATTGATCAGGAACTGGACCAGGGATTTTTTAATCTTTTACAGCAATTTCATTACTTAAACACGCAAACCTCCATAAAAGGTAATTATGGCATTCCAATAATGTTTATAAATCTATTACTGTATGACACTCCTGTTCTTGTGGTTATGTTCTGCAGCATTTTTTAAACAGGCAAACACTATCCTATTTATGCTAGTGATGCAATGTTGTACTTCATCTTAGCATCACCCAAGATGCCAAGGCCTCACTCGACTGCAGTTGAGAGCCAGCAAAAAGTTCCAAGAAGTTTGCACAAAAGCAGCACGCTCCTGTTATTGTAATCTATTTTAGCCCATCGTGTCTTCTCTGTCGTTTGCTGAAGTTTGCTGTCAACAGTGGTTCTGCAGGACTAGCAGGGTCCAGAGTAACAGCCACTACAGATCCAAAACACAGATCCAAAACTTGTTCAATATTTGCCATGTCTTGAGATACAGTCAAAGCAGCAGTGGACCTCCCAGCTGGTGAGCTGCTGCTTCTTAATGGGGGTTAGAGAGGGAGCATGGCGCAAACACATCAGCAGGAGCACCAGATAGGCTCAGCTGCCGTGCTGGCACTGTGCTGATCTCACCACCACCTGATGCTCCTCCATGTATGTGGCAGTGACTCACCTGCTGAAGGGGTCAGGCAAGCACTTCCACCCCACACCTACTGCAAACCATTTGAACCCTTTCTATTGTCACCCCTTGCGCGCGCGCGTGCGCGCGCACACACACACACACACACACGTATAGTCTTCTATTTGCAAGTGTAAGGAAACTGTGAAGCAATTAATGTAGAGATAAAAATGTGACTTTGGTTTGCTATACAGTGGTACCTCGGTTACATACCCTTCAGGTTACATTCGCTTCAGGTTACAGACTCTGCTAACCCAGAAATAGTGCTTCAGGTTAAGAACTTTGCTTCAGGATGAGAACAGAAATCGTGCTCCGGCGGGGCGGCAGCAGCAGGAGGCCCCATTAGCTAAAGTGGTGCTTCAGGTTAAGAACAGTTTCAGGTTAAGTACGGACCTCCAGAACAAATTAAGTACTTAACCCGAGGTACTACTGTATAAAGAAGCACTGGATGGATATAATAAAGCAAGTTGCTTTATTATAGGCCACCAGGATCAGTCTGGAGCATACCTGAGCGTGTGGGGTGCACCTGAGACTTCTGGAGATGAAGAAGACTTCAGACATACAGGGGACATCCTCCCAACCAACCTGTGTTTTTTTTAAGTGGAACTTGGCAGGGGGCCTGCCCATCACCAGCAATGCGGTGCTTTGTTGTAAAAGATACTTGCACTACAAGTTAACTTTATTCATCCAGATTTCCATGAGGAAAGACAAAGCAGCAAATGAAAAACTGAGTTCAGAATTCCCAACCATACAGCTTTGGTGCTCTGCATGGAAACTATTCCAGAGGTGCCTCTGCTCCATGTGAACTCACTCAGAAGTGGATGTGCATTCTGGGTCTCTCAAAATCACCAGCTGTTACTACCAAACTGTCAAACCCAATATTTTCATGTTTTAAGAAACATAAAAAAATGTAACCCCATCTAGAATGCAACTTGGCGGAGTGTCTGTCATTCAGAATAGACAAGATGCCAGGGTACTTTCCCAGACTTCAAGGAGACCCTTTCTTCGAAAGAGGCAGATGGCACTTTTAGCACGGAAAATAAAAATGTTCAGGAACTGAATAATAACAACTGTTGTTCCAAGGTGTCAGTGGCAAAAACAGAGCACAAAGAAGACAACACACAACATAAAAGGAGGACTTGCCTCAGATACTTTAGAAATGGAGCAAGCTTGGCTTTCCATAGCTCTCATAATTTGAATGACAGACACACATATCAGCAAAGTGAACACACTGGGATCATCTGTCAATCTTTCCCTTTCCCTAATCCTCCAGGCAGGCCATCTGCTATATTTAATTTTTTTTTAAGTGCCACTTGCATTTTTATTGATTCATTTGTTGCCCTAAGAAAGAAACAAAAATGTTATTTTAAAAGGCTAATTCAAAATGCTGGTTTGAACTTTTTAGTTCCAGTCCTGTCCTGTACACTTACTTTGGAGTAAGTGCACTGAGTGGGACTTTTGAGTAAAAGTTGAACTGGGTTTAGGGGAGCACACACCAAAACACAGCGTTCCATACAAAACTATAGTATAGGTGGTGGATTGTGGCTTTCAGGGTGTGCATACCACTTCCCAAACCCTGCAGGGGTGCACTGGATGCAGAGCGAATGGGAGCGCATACACAGCTGCATTAGCACATGGGAACTCTTGTCTAATCTGCAGGGCTTTGGCTCTTGCAGTGGCTTCTGGTGTTGATGCCCTTGCAAAAATGCAGCGCAAGTTTTTACTGCAGAAATGGCAATGATGACTTTGCAACAGATGGAAGTCCCATGAGTTAGTTTCAAAAGCTGCTTCTTGTTGGAGAGGGGGAAAAGCACTCTGCACATGCTCAGAGCACAGCAACAATGGATTGATTGATCTGAGTTTCCTTATATGCTCTTTCCCACAAGAAGGTTTCTGGTACAGTGGTACCTCGGAAGTCGAATGGAATCCTTTCCGGAAGTCCATTCGACTTCCAAAACGTTTGGAAACCAAGGTGCGGCTTCCTGCAGCCAATCGGAAGCCGTGGAAGTCCCATCGGATGTTCAGGTTCCAAATAGTGTTCGCAAACTGGAACACTCACTTCCGGGTTTGCGGCGTTTGAGAGCCAAAATGTTCCACTTGCAAGGCGTTCAGGATCCAAGGTATGACTGTACTGCTGTAGGAGCCTGGCCTATATGCTGTTCAGATGTGAGGGGTAGGTCACTTATAGCTGGCATACTCCTGAGAAGGCTGACAGGAGCAAAAGGGAAATCTTGGGGAGGGAAATGATGGCACGTCTCTTCTCCAGCCTCCTGAAAGTACTCCTGAAATAAACAACTACCTGACATTCAGAAGACATCTTAAGGCAGCCCTGTTCAGGGAAGTTTTTAACGTGTGATATTTTACTGTATTTTTGCTTTTTATGGAAGCCGCCCAGAGTGGCTGGGGAGGCCCAGCCAGATGGGCGGGGTATAAATAATAAATTATTATTATTATTATTATTATTATTATTATTATTATTATTATTATTATTACCAACTTCAGTTGCAGGTCTTATAGAGCTTTTTTTAAAACAACAACAACATCCAGTGGTACCTCGGGTTACATACTGAAATATACTCGGAGTCGAGAGTGGATTTCATGCTCTTTACTCAGCTCATAGTGGTGAGGAGGAATGGAAGTTTCCCCAAAGTATCTGCTTTATATACATTATTTACACAATGGGCTGCACGTGATTGGCTAATTCTGGAATTCACCTGTAGGCCAATCAGGTTGTGGATTCACTTCTATCTGGAGCTGGATTGGGTGGCTCCTGCCGACCAATCATACTGCTGGGCCAATCAGACTGCTGCATTTTGGATCCTATTGTTCTAGGACCAATCAGACTGCAGCAGTTTGGATCCTATTCAACTCAGTACATAACACATACGCTTCAGGTTACATACGCTTCAGGTTACATACGCTAACCCAGAAATAGTACCTCAGGTTAAGAACTTTACCTCAGGATGAGAACCGGCGGCGCGGCAGCAGCAGGAGATCCCATTAGCTAAAGTGGTGCTTCAGGTTAAGAACAGTTTCAGGTTAAGAACGGACCTCTGGAATGAATTAAGGTCTTAACCCAAGGTACCACTGTATGTAACAAAGATCCATTTTTAACATTTTATTCCACAAAGAAAATGCACCCATAGACTCCTTACCTCCAGGTTTCAAAACAAAAGCGGACTTTGTGAACATATAAACAAAACTCAACAAACATACAGGTACATTACTTAACAGCAGATCCCTATACAGGAGGGAGAGGGCCTTCTTGGTGGTGGCAGCTCCCAGACAGCTTTGGAACTCCCTGCCTAGGAAGCCAGACTGGCAAATAACTTCTTGATCCAACAGGCTTTTGGGAACTGGCTGCTGTTACTGAAAGGGCTGGTGCTGTGCTGCTTTGACTGCAATTATCCACATGTATATATGCAGCTTTAATTCTATCCATGTTTATTTGTATTTTGATTATTGCACCCCCCCCCCAGTTTTTAGTAGTTATTTTTATCTGTAAGTTAACATGAGTCTCGTTAGAGAAAAAGGCAGGGAATAAATAAATAAATAAATTGTTCAAAGATGCTCGAACGCAAAATGTTGTTTCCCCATCTCCGATTTTTCTGCACGTCCTCAGAGGCGTTTCTTATTTATTTATTTATTTATTTGGGGGTGGGGGTGGGGGGCAGCTGATGGTGCTGCGTACCCTTGAATACGCCCGGGGAACCTAAGCGCACTCTGCACATGCTCAGGGGAACGCTTGCGCGCAGGCGAAGCGGGCGTCAACACACAGAATCCTTGACTTGGGATTGTTTCTGGTTATGGCGAGGTTAAACTCATTATTATGGGCTGGAGAAGCAGCAAAACGGGGTAGTTTATCCAGCGGCAGAGCGGGAATTGTAATTATAAGCAGTACTCTTTTTTGTTTCTTTTAAGGGAAAAAGGTGCCTGCGCTCACCACGAAGTTGTTACAGCCAGGAACACAATTCCTTATTTATTTATTTTATTTATATGGGGGTCGGAGGGGGAAGCTGCTGGTGCTGCGTACCCTTGAAATGCGCCCGGGGAACCTAAGCGCACTTTGCCCATGCTCAGGGGAACGCTTGCGCGCCGGGCCTCGTCCCCGCGGGGCCAATGGCACACGAGCCGCGCCGGCCGCCGCCGCTTGAAAAGGAGGCGAGGCGGGTTGGCCTCCGGCTTCCGGCATGGCGGGACTACAACTCCCGGCGTGCCCCGCGCCAAAGCGCATCCGGCCCGCCGCCCCCTCCCTGCTCGCCCGCCTGCTCGCCTCGGTCCGTCGGCCGGTCGCGCTCCGGACTCAGCCCGGCGCCCGGGCGGGATGGAGTGACCGAGCCCGGCCAGACCCCGGAAGTCCCACCGCCCGCCTTGCCCGGGGCCCATGCGGCCCCTCACAGACCATGGGGTCCCGCATTAAGTGAGTGAGGAGGAGGAGCAGGAGCCCCCCAGGACGGGAGCGCGCCCCTGGGGGGGGAGGGGCAGGGTGCGCGCGCGCGCGAGAGAGAGACCCATCCCTCTGTCTGTCTGTCTGTCTGTCTCTCTATGCGCTATAGCGGGGAGTGTGTGGGGCGGGGGGGGGTCTTGGGAAACCCACATAATGGGCGAGGGGCGCTCGCAGCAGGGGGCAGGTGGGTTGGCGTGGGAGTCCAGCGACCCTCTGGAAGGAAAACTCAGAACCCCCTTTTGAGGAGGAGGAGTAATACCAATACCGTAATAATAATAATAATTCTCCCCCGGAGCGAGTGAGGAGAAGCCCCCCTCAGCGTGGGAGCAGCCCCTGCCCCTGGGAGTGTGTTCCCCTGGGGGCAACGTGGGTGTATATGTGTATTATATAGCTATAATGGTGAGAGCGTGTGGGGCGGGGGGGGGAGGGGGTCTTCTCTCCCCTTCCTGGGCAACCCACTTAATGGGCGAGAGGTACCCACACCGAAGCAGCAGTGTGCGGGGGGGGTCATGTTTAAGTGCACCTGCCCTCTTGAAGAAAACCTCAGAAAACCTATTTATTTCAGGGACTCCACCCTGCCCTGTCTTTCTAGGTGTCCTATTTAGGCAACTCCTCATGCAATGAGTGACCCAGGGCACCGCAAATATCTGTGGTTTTTCTCACTTGCATCTTGCTTTAGGAGACGTCTTTCTCCGTGTTTGTAAAGAGAGAAGCATCCATAATGTGTAGGAAGAGGAGACAGGCAGGCTTCTCCTTCTCTTTGAAAGTGTGTAGAGTCAGAAATGTCTTTTTGGGTATATGTGTGTGACTGCACCGCTTCCTTCCATCCCACCATGTTTTGTTAAATATGAAGGAATGTTTTCTTTATAAACAAAAAAATTAAAAAAATTGTCCAGTAGCACCTTAGAGACCAACTAAGTTGTTTGTTGATATAAGCTTTCGTGTGCATGCACACTTCTTCAGATACACTGAAACAGAAGTCACCAGACCCATATATATATAGTGGGAGCATGGAGTGGGGTTTTCCCCAGAAGGGTGGTAGGAGGTGGGTGATTGACTCAATGGGTATGGTGAACCTGTTGACACTGCTAAAGCTATTTTTGGTCATTTGCATACTATCCCTTGCTTTTTCCTGTAGGACTAATTGCAGTCATTAACAGGCCTCCACAGGTTGACCATACCCATTGAGTCAATCACCCATCTCCTACTACCCTTCTGAAAACCACCCCATCCTCCCACTATATATAAGGGTCTGGTGACTTCTGTTTCAGTGTATCTGAAGAAGTGTTCATGCACACGAAAGCTTATAACCAGAACTAACTTAATTGGTCTCTAAGCTGCTACTGGACAATTTTTTTATATATTTTGACTGCGTCAGACCAGCACGGCTACCTACCCGAATCTGTTTTCTTTATGTATGTGTGGACATACACATGATCAGCAGAGATAAAATATTCTCTCTGCTAATAGATAGGGAGTACCGTTTTTTGGAGTTAGCGTTAGAGATAACTCTTTCAGAATTTGGTGGTTTTACCTGCTTAGTTGTGTTTACACATGTTTGTGTCTTAAATTCAAGTTGCAAAGCAGATGTCTGTCTTTCTTCCAAAGTTCCAGATGCTGCGCTCCCCACCCCCTTGTTTAAAGTGTTTCATGGGAAGTGCATGTGGCGCACCTGAGGTGCTGCACAACCTTCACTGAGTGAACGGGGATGTGTCTTTGTGTTCCTGCCCCTCCTGCATTTCTTCTTTCATGCCAACAAGCCCTGAAGAGGCAGGAGCGGGGCAAGCTTGGCTGGTCAAGGAGCTTCATTGCCCCGGGCAAGGCTCCTGTCACATTCTGAGCATTTGCACAAATGGATGGTTTTGAAAGAAGAGAAAAGGTGACACCAGAAGGGTGGCAAAAGTGGCTTCTGCTAGCGTTCAGGTGACATAGGCTTCAGCAGCAGGCAAGAAAGTGGGGGAAGGAGCTGCTTTAGCAGAACAACCTGTTTCTCATTCTCATCCAGCTAATCTTCATTGGGTGGGTTCTTCTTCCTAACCTCCATAGGGTTTGGATGAGCGGAGGGGAGAGAAAATCGCTGGTGTTTTGGTCTTCAGGATCCTTGAGACTTCCACATACACCCAGGATCTTGCAGGACTTTCTCTGGCTGTGTGTGCAGCCACTGTCTGGAAGTTTGATGCTACTGGCTTTGATAAATTGCTTTTGCAAAAATGGGAGCTGGGAGAAAATTTTTATCTACAGCTTACAGCTTTACTTCTCCAGCTTGGCTTGAGTTGTCTGGAGCAGCCAGATGGTTTATCCAGCCTCAGAGTGATCAGATGAAATTGACCTGGAAGTAGCCATGGCTGTTTGTAGGAACAAAAATGGGATACTCTTATTAAAGTGCAGGTTTGGGCTTGTCTTCTGCCAATCAGTTTCCAAGATTCGTGCGCTATTAGCTGTTGCTGGCAAGTTAGTTCGAATTGATTGACTCTGGTCTTGAGCAGCCTTCTCTTACTTGGTGCACTTCAACTGCTTTTGACTACAGCATTTATTAATCCTTACCAGCACATCTGTGCTGGCTGGGGTTGATGTAGTCCAAACATCTGGGTGGCATCAGCGGCAGGAAAGCAGGTCTAGAAGTTTGTTCCATTTATATTAGTTGCTGAATTTCATAGCAGTCCGCCCTCTCAAGATCTGCTTGGTGTAGACAGCATGTTCCCTGTGTTAGCAGTGGGCTGAAAATCACAAAAAAGAAAGGTAACATCTTTGGGGACTATTGCATCTGTTCTGCTATATATGGGAAATTGCGTGTACACCTGTGTATACCTGCACACACCTACATTTCTCTCCATTAACATAACTGAGCAGGTCAGGAAAGTTCCTAGGGCAAATAGTTTCATCAGACACTCTCTGTGGGACAATATTGGAAATCTACCCAGAAATAGTAGCTGGGGCAGTGTTAGACAATCGGTTCCTTAGCTAGTGGACTTTTCTTCGGTCATAACAAGAATTTACAGTCTGTGCTGCCAGTATCATAGTTCCCTGGTTGCTCTTGTGGTCGTAGCTTGACCTTGAAAGCTATAAAAGATTTGTAGATTGGCTGTCTTTAGAAACCGCCTGTGTCCTAAACAAATATAGCAGGGGTCAGAAAATATGCCTTTTGGTACAGGGGAGAAGTGAGTGTTTATAATCCATTATAATGCTGTGGACTCACTCCTCCTAGAAATATCTTGGCTGGATTAGGAAGTTTGAAACCACACTGTGAAGTGGTTTTCTGTAATTTTCAACCACATAGATAAAGTCCAGCCATTCTGTAGCCACTGGAAAATCTCTGGAAGAGCGTCTGTGAATCTTGGAATCTTACATAGGTTACTCCAATCCAAGTTCTGTTCAGTGACAGAGGGATCGTGCGACTTCTTTTGTATCTCCAATCTTTCGAGGAAAAAAGCAAGCTTTCCACTCTTTACTGTGCAGAGAGGTCGCTTCTGGATGGGCAGTTAATGATTGTCCAGAAACCAGAAGCAAGGAGATGTTCTGACTGAAAAATGCGGAAGATCCTCAAACAGTAAGAACTGGCACTTGTGCTCTGCCAGGGGCGAAAAATCTTTCCGTAAATTACCCCCAACACACTTGTTTTTTAGATTGCAAAGGGAAACAAAAAGTGTTAATAAGGCAACTGGGAGCCTGAGTTTCTGCTCAGCCTCACAGAACCACTTACTCCCTCCACTTGTGTTCAGACCCCCCGATTTATTAACACTTAAGGGCTATGAGAACTCTGGGACTGACTAAGACATGAGACCCATATTAAATTTCACTGTGTCAGGATACTGAGGATTATAAATAGCTTAAGCAAATTTTATGGGTTGACTAACTTGGGCTACTTAAAGCTGGGAATAATAGAATTGCCTGAAAAATGTAAGTTTTTGGTGATTTGAACAGCCTATGTTGTTCCATGTGTCAGCGTGTTGTTCCTTTGGCTTCTGTTTGATTCTCTTTCGCTTTTGCTATCTGGAGGTGGTTTTTCAGAGGCCCCTAAACCTAATTTCTCTGTGTCTTCAGAGTCCTGGCAAGTTCAGAATTTCTTCTCTCAAGAGGAACTCAAAGAAAGGATCATTTAGCAGGACAGATGAGCAGAAGTTTGAGAGAAGGAGTCATTGAGTTTTGATTTCAGAGAATTGCTGAGATCCAAGATCCTGTTTTTCTGGTTAAGTCCTGGGTGCTGAATCAGAGGGGGGCGGATATGAGTCCCCAGACCAGGGTTAGCCAATGTGGTGCTCTCTGGATGCTGCTAGACTACACCTTTCGTTGTCCCTGACTGTTGTCCATGTTGCATGGAACTTAAATAAGCTGGAGCCCAACAACACGAGAACTTAAGAAGAGCCCCTGTGAATCAGACCAAGGGCCCATTTTGTGCAGTTTTGTGTTCTTATGGTGGTTCTTATGTGTTCTTATGGGAAGCTTCAAGCAGGACACGAGCTCTGCCCTTCATGATCTGCAGCAAGTGGTGTTTGGAGGCACAATGTCTCTGATATAGGAGCTACCATTGCCATCGTAACTAGTAGCCAGTATCTGGAGGGTCTCATGTTGGGCTATTCCTGCCCCAGGCAGCAACTAGGAGACAAACCTCTACATTCTGAATTGGCACTGCCTTTTCACCTTCGTGCGCACAGTGGAGCGCAACCTTTGCTGCATATTTGTGAGCTACTATAATGAAGTGCGACCCCCTCCAACCTGGCACCTTCTAGATTTTTTGACTACAAATCCCATCATCCCTAGCTAGCATAATTATATGACGAGGGAGCATTGCCATCATTTATGCTGGTGCTGATGGGAATTGTAGCCCATAGCATCTGGAGGGCCCTTGCTAGTTGAAGACTGATGTATTGGGTCGTACTGTAACTTCAGTTTAAATTTGTTGCGTGGCCTGGCTACCCTGAAGATTCAGATCCATATCTCATCCCTGCAGTGCAGCTTGGGTTATTTGCCAACCT